CACCCTCTTCCACCGCCATTTTGTTTCTTTCATTGTTTCCCCGTGCGCCGGAAAGTGGCCTTTGTGTCCATCGGTAATCTCATCCGAGAGTGAAAATGCTAACCCTCCCTCCGTGGGTTCCACAACGCTGCTCCGAACTTCTGAGATAAGGTGCTTGTTTCCGGGAGGGTTATAAGTCCCACAGATTATCGCCGAGAATCAAAATGGCTGCTGGTTTGTCGGCGAGTGGTATTACAAAGGGTGGCATCACCCTAGCAAAGCGCACATGAAGGCTCCCTACCTCCCCCCTCCCCCATCCCCCCGAAAGCAATTCCTGGCTACGCCACTGGCCAAAAACAGTTCTTCGAATTAATGTGATTTTGCTCCGAGCCAAGCGAAGCTCTTCGTGAATATCTACATTGCCTGGGAAAGTTTCAATATTGGAATGTATAACATGCAGACACAGCAATATTGATCACATTGTGTATTAAGCACACTTTAAAACAACGGGGCTTCATTTGGTACGACAGGGAATTCACATATGTCCGAAACACACAATTTTTTCTGGCTCTGTTTTTAAATATTTGAGGAATGTTAACTTGTTATATTACTGGCGGGGATTATAACATCCAAAGTTTTAGTCTTTTTTGCTGCGTTAACTTCATCAATTGTGGGTTCCGCACACCAGTAAGCTAAAAAAATTGTAGGGGTGCAGGCGAGCTGGTGAATATTAACCATGTTGAATTAACCTGAGACTGGGGTAGAGAAGAAACATCAAAACGTACAAGGGACAGAAAATAGACAGGACGACGTCTCAAACTAAGCTAACTCGTTTATTTAGTCCACCTCTTTATATAGCCTCAATCTCAAGGTCATCTCCACCAACACAAAAGGACGAAGTCTATACAGTTCAAGCGCCAAGTCTTCATCACACAATGGAAGAATGTTGACAACCTTTGCAGTTCGACGCGATAAGGCAACATCCATCCACCTTCAAACTTGAACAAAAGGATCTCTGCCCCTACTCTTCTAAACACAGTTCATACTTCTGAATCATACATAACACGCCCTCTGCACATAAAAAAAAAAAACACTGAAACGGTATTTGGGTGAATACACGTAGAGAACCACACAAAGCAAAAATATTTTACAGATTTTAGGAAACTCACAAGCAGGTCGCGCTTCAAACAACCTAAAAGCAGGTCGCACTTCAAACAACCTATTGGCTCAACTACTGTTTCAGTGTTTTTCTTCTTTTTTTTTGGGAGGGCGTGTTATGATTCAGTAGTATGAATTGTGTTTAGAATAGTAGGGGAAGAGATCTTTTTATTCAAGTTTGAAGGTGTTTGAAGATGTTGCCTTATCGCGTCGAACTGTAAAGCTTGTCAACGTTCTTGCATTGTGGGATGAAGACTGTGGCGCTTGAACTGTATAAACTTCGTCCTTTTGTGTTGGTGGAGATGACTTTGAGATTGAGACTACATAAGGAGGCGGACTAAATAAACGAGTTAGCTGAGTTTGAGACGTCGTCCTGGCTATTTTCTGTCCCTTCTACGTATTGATGTTTCTCCCCTACCCCAGTCTCAGGTTAATTGAACATGGTTAGTAAGCTGAAATATACATATGCCAAGACAGCATGCCTTCACTCTCTTTAGGAACGTTTGCCCCTGTTCATCTGTTGCAGTGGCCAGCAGAAGCTGCGCGGGGGTTCTGAAGCTGGGTTCCCAGTGCGCTTCCTTTTTCTTTCAGTATCTCGCTTTACGGTGCGAATGTCAACAACCTGGGCAGACTGCATAAGAAATTCATAATTAAGTTATGTCTCCTCCTGGAGTAACACATCTCTGATACTTTTTCAAGATAACTAGACAAGCAACTGGCCGTATCACTTATGCGCGCGTTGTAATGTTCCTTTCTACCTTTTGAGAGTAACATGCGAATGACCACGTCACACCCGTACTGACGTGGGCGGGAAAATCCACCGGCATTCCATTGAGGTGGACGATGGGTCGTTGAGTCCGTGCTAGACCTCTGATTCCACGCGAAAGAGCAGTTCCGACACATGACTGCACACCTCTCCCTGGCGGTAGCAAAACATACAGATTAGATCGCACGCACAGCGCGTTAAATCAACATGGTAGTTTAGACAAAACGCTTACCCCGCCATGCAAGTGCAATGGGCGCTGATTACAGTGCCATCTTTTTCCACAAGAGTCCAGGGTTGGTGCACTTCACGGTCTGGCTGGACTCGAAGTCGGCAGTGACGGGCACTATCGCGCTATTTCCAACGGCTGCACTTAAGCAGTGTAGTTGCCGAATCATGCCGTTGATGAACCTTTTAAACCCATCTGACAGCTTTAAGATTTTAAAGTGTTCTATCGTATAGAAACAGGTACTTTCTACGAGGTACACGTAAATGTCGTCGACGTGCATTAAAGACAACCGCCTTGATCCGGTCATGAATGCGAGGCATATGCAAGGTAGGGCAGATAAGGCAAGAGTTTTGCGTGTACTAGGACGATGACAAATCCGGGAGATAGGTCATGTCTTTTGTTGTGCTCTCGACCGGATGTTTGGATATTTTGGTTGGCGACTCTTGAGGTTTTGGTATTTATGGAAGTGTTACTAAATAAACTTTCAGCTAGTTTGGAACGACGCCTTCTGCTTTTCTGTTCCTGTCCCTTCCACGGTTGGTTCTTCTAGTTCTCCACCCAGTCTAAGGTGGTTCACGAAAATGATAAATGCGTGTTGACGCAGCGACGGATCGAGTGGGTCCGGCAGCTCTTCCCCGCAGAAAGTCAATTTTTGACAATACCTCTATCTGGGTGCGACGTCCAACGCTCAATAGTACTCACTGCTCATGATTTAACTTTCATGCGGATAAAGTTAAAGCAGAACGACTTTGCAGAAACGTTTCCCGTCCACAACAAACTCAGTCACTGCCCGCGTCGTTGTAAAACAACAGCGGCGGGAGGAGCGGAAGTTGCAAACTGGAAGAATGTTTGGGCTAACCAAGCACAGCGCAGGTCGAGTTTGTTACCAAACAGAAACGAACGGAAATATCTGCGTTCTGAGTATTCTAAAACAAATTTAATCATTCTCGTTCTTTTACGTAGTAACACGTCCATTTTAATGCTCGGCAACCAGCAGCATACTTAATTACCACACTGCAAATCACCAGTAAGGGTACTCATTCACTGCGTTTGAACAAGTCCAAATCTTCCTTCTCAAACGTTCTTAAATTTTTTCGTCTTTTATCTTTTTTGCAGAGCACAAGGATGGTCAGTTATTTGTATCTCCAAAGCCGTCTAACGAATTAATAATAGGTTTAAAACTGTTTCACTTCAGAAAGAAGGAGCGTCACATGTAAAAAATGTGGCATTGTTACCCTGGGCACAACGTATATCACAGTTAGCACGCACATGACCATGCGGCTCACTTCGAATTTCACTGATCGTGTACAGTGTCTAACCTGTTTTTTTTAAATATTTGCTGAAACCTCAATCTGGCACATTTATACAGGTAGTTGCTTTTATGGCGGCATTTAGCGGCACAAAAAGACAGACTTTTTCGTGCCTGCTTGCATCAATTTTGTCTTAATCTGTGCGTGACAAATGAAGAGCAGGAATAGTACCACCTTCCTAAAATTAGAGTCGTTCCTTGCATTTAATATGTGCCAAAACCTTAGATAAATAATGAATGTTTTAAATATTAAACATGTAATGCAATTATATGCATATAAAGAAATTGACTGTGGTCTAGCATTAGAACGACATATAAGCTGAACTTTCTTTGCAATGTTTTTCCGCAGGCTCCTAAATAAGTCACCCGACTTTCTCGATTTGCGCTTCTTTTGAGCAGGAATAAGACTCGTAAATAGTTTTCGTATGATAGTACCTTGAAAAAAATGCTGTGTTTCTTAGGCACCAAGAATATCTCAATGGACCTTTTCCGAGAAGCGTTCTGCGCACGCGCGAGCGCCCGATGCCAAGTGGTGGAGGTCGGCACGGAAAATCGAGGAAATTCGGAATGAGGCTATAGATTGACGAGTAGAACACGTAAATGCAGCATATATATAATTGTGTTACACAAAAAAAGAAAGTGGACGGAAAGAAAAACACGGCGTTTGGGTGGACGCTACGGATTTCACTCCTTAAAGTCGCGATGGGCCGTTGGGCACGCGACGCAGCCCAGAGAGCGAAGCAACTGGTAGCGTAGCTCCCATTATCGATTGGTAGCCCAGGTAGGTCACTTCCTCGGTTTTTAGTTCGTGCAGCCACCGTCTGGTGCCGTCGGTATTTGGAAAAGGTCCCTTTGTGTACATAATTGCTTCTTTGTAGACGCCCCTTTGGAGAAGAACGAGCACAACTTATTCGTAAATCACGATTAACATTCACCAAAGGTAAGTTTAAAGAGACACTAAAAAACGAAGCTGTCCAAGAAGAAAAAGTAATGAGCGAACGCTGGAATAACGCGAAACCACACCCTGTGTTATATTCGTGCTGTTTCTCAACACCACCGGAAACAGACAAGGACATCTGAATCCGGCGAATAAACCCGGGTCTTCCTGCGCAATCCAGCTTAACGCTGCTCTGCTCCTGCGTCATTCACAACCCCAACCGCAAGGGGTGTCGGTCCGCGCCATTTGATTCGAAAATAAATAAGAAGCAAGAACCCCAGCCAAGTTCCCGTCTTTATTCACGAGAGAACCCGGCGTACACCCACACGCAACGCCAACCTGCATAAACAACAAAAGGCAAAAACAAGCAAATGTGCGTGCGAAGGAAAAGTTCAGCAGATGTATAAAATCGCTTCTCACGCACCTCGTACCCGAGCCGCGATTCTAATTTCAGAATTTTACGGCGAGGCCTTTCCTCCTCGCGCTCTATTCTGCGCATTCCCGCCCGTGCCCTTGTTGAAGGAACGCGCCTTCTCGGCCAGCTCGGCGGAAGTGACTCAGCTCGTTACGTCATATCCGTCCCAAAAGTCTATTTAAACGTTACCTCTGAGTCTAAGGCAGGTGGCACCGAGCGAGCCAAGAACTGTTGTCGTCTCATAGCGTGCGCGCCTTTCAAGTTTGTTGGATCGGTACCTGGGCTGCTGAGTCTACAGCCAAGGTCTAAACTTGCTCGTGCCTTGGCTCGAGCACCTTTTCCGGTATCCCCTCCGTTGAGAGTGCATCCAGGGGGCGGCTCCGGCGGCTGGTGACTTGTTTAGACGTCCTCCATAACTGTGACATTTAAAGGAAGCACTTAGCACGGAGCTATCGGATTCCTAATCACCAGCAAGCTGCAGAAAGGAGGCGCCATGTCTGATCATCTTGAAAATGGCACCGTCGCAACGACCAGCAGGGAAGCCATCATTCCAGTCGTCTTTAACGGCAAGCAACACTTCCCAGGCAAACTTGTGTTGTCTAAGACGTCGCAAATCAACGAGACTGTGGACCGCAAGATGCCCCTGGTGCCCTTAGAAGATGACCCCATGCAGCGAGAATGGGACGAGTTCCTCGAGGATTTCCCGCAGTGCAGCCAGTACCTCGAGCCCGGCTTTTTAGATAAAAAATTCCCAGCCTTGAGAAAAAGTGTGGAACGTCAGGAACCAGAGTCCGATGGCGGAGCCGAGAAGGTAGTTGTTTACGATGTTGACGTCAAAGAGTTTCAACCGGAAGACATCAGTGTCCGCGTCAAAGACGGGAATGTCTTGGTCATAGGGAAGACTGAGAAGATACTTAACGGCGGCGGAAAATACTCTAAAGAGGAAATTCTGGGTGGCATCAGGGTTCCTGAGGACGTGGAAGATGACGACGTTCTCCTGGAAACCACGCCAGACCTCAGACTGAGAGTTTCGACACCTGATTCTCGACCGGGATCTGCCATGTCTTCCGCGCCCTCATCGGCACAATCATCTGCACCTTCGTCAGCCGACACCTCCCTTGCTGAAAGGTGAGGTGCCTCACCGAAGAAAACAGAGATACGTTATGTTTCGCTGTTCGCGTGGAGATCCCATGGATAACTATACATAGAATATCGTTGTGTGCTCTCATGACGCCGTGAAGTGATTACAAAAACCTGGGAGAAATCACCAGCCAATCTGTCATTGTGCCCATCGTGTGACGGTGCAAGGCGATGCGTCGAACACTGCGTTTGTTTTTATTTCATAAGTGAGCGAGTCGAATATGGATGATGTACATTGACTCAAGAGGTTGCAAAGTCTTTTATTGATTCCACTGCTCGGAAGCGCGCGCATCATTGTTTGTCGCATGAATGGCGCTGTGTTTTTCAAATGTACTTGTGCTAAATTTAATTGTTTTTGCACGCGAGTTGGATGCTTTGAGCATTTGTCAATAAATGTTCCTATATAGAGTTTTTTTAGATGTTTGTTTAAAATTGTGAGCAACAAAGATCGCGCAATTCTGTAGTCAAATAATTACTTTAATATCGCACAATTGCATTAAATATATCGGGATTCTGTAAACCGTTGAGACGTTCATGCTATCACCGGTGATGATAATTACAGTATGCACTAAGTCGCGCTTTATTTTATGTATTTATTACTTTTCCCAAGAATTCTAAGTACTTTCATAACTTTAATTTAAGACAGTCTGAATAGTTTCAAAAGAAGCTTCGTACACTTTAAACAGCGCTTCCATTGAGTCACAAACTAAAGCACTGAAACGGCAGAAACATGCGCTGGCTCAGTGATAAGATCTCGGTCATTTTACTGTGTTTTTTTGTTTTTTCTTGTACACTTTTTGCTACGTTCATGTTTTCTGGAGTCTCTATCTGCGAGCACATTGCTTTGACTTCAGTCATAGGGTCACTGTCAGCTTAAGAAACACGGGTCATGGCTTATGATATTCACACTTCCTGCTGCTTGACTCTTACCTCGACATTCTTATCGACGTGACTTATATTATACTGACGCTATATATCAGCGTTCATTGTAAGCAAGCGTGCTGCTGCCCGCATACATTAGGAATGACCATTGGTATGATGCGATGACGTCAAGTGCAAGCCAGATACGTTATTTTAGGCTTTGATGGTACCTTACCAACAAAAGGAAACGCCACATAGAATAGTCGAGGCCTGCCAACATGATCCTCTTTCTCCGTGGAACGTCGCCCCGACGTTCCACGGTAATTCGTAATTCGTCCCGGACACAAAGTGGAGCGTCCTTCGACGCGTTGGTTGGCCACGAGGCCCAGCCGATCTCTGATGTAGCTGTCGTGTCCATTTCGTGTCTTCGCTCGATCTCAATGTGGTGATGTCAACATTTTAGTGGCTTTGATTATTCAAGGTGGTGTTGCCACAGGCGCGAGACGACGGCCCTCAACGCAGCAAAAGGTGATTTCGCGGTGAGAAAGGTTCATATCGAGGCACCCTACTCTGCCTTCGCTTCTCCTTTTTCTTTCAATTAGAGCTGGAGGAAAATTTAAAAAAAAAAAGGTGAGTTGGCGACTCCTTAACATGGGGAGCCACTACTTGGCTTGGGGAACGAGCACGAAAAACGTAAGGTGAACAGTGAGCAACGTTATATTTGAACGAAGAAAGCCGTCAATCTTCGTTCGGGAAAATACTAATTTGTATATAGAACTATTTATTCAATCGAAATGAGGCGACTTCTTTTACAACACTTTCCACAAGTCGAAAATACGCTTTGGGGGAAGATTCCTGGCATCGGAGAAATCCCTCCGCCCTCTTGATTGGCAACGCAATCAGCAAGGAACGTGAAAATAATACGTCACTCCTTACGTTTCTTAAGTTGTCGGCGGCGACAGTGGGCGGAAGACTCCGCAGCCGAAGAGGGTCGGATGTACAGGCTGACCTCCAGAAAAAGAGTGCTGTTCAAGTCATTTTGCGGCTTCCTTGGAGTCGCTAATATGTTGTGCCTACTTCATTCTGGGCCATCAAGGCAGCCACTCCAACACTCTAAAGAAGAGTGATACCACTTTCCCTTAGTACAAAGAGAGAGTCAATCACAGTGAAGAACAAAACGATTCCATCAAAGGATGAAGCTAAGAATGCGATTAGACTAAACAAAACGATTAGGTGCAATGAGCATGACGTGGCACTTCCTCATTATCGCTGAGCACATCGTATTCTTTTTTTAGATCTAATCGTGTTCTGAGCTCGTCATTTGTTGAGATTCGTCTGTCGTTCGCCATTATTGAATACCTCCGTGCTCTGCAGGAAAGTGCGCTCACGTCAGACCCTTCAGAGTGTATACTCTAAGAAATTTAGAGCAACTACTTTGTCGCAAAGAAACTTGGAGAGGGAATCGCTGCGATTACAGAGGGAGCTCGGCGGACGACAATGCTTACAATTTGTATACACGTAAGAAAACAGTCTGTGCTGTCGCACTGGGACTGAGGTTTCATCGTGCTCATTGCTACAGCGCAGACTGGTTTGAGGTCTAGGCAAGCGATCAGCCTGGTCATTCGCCGAGCTGCCTCTGGATATTGCAGAGTTTCGTTCTCCTAGGTGCCGTGACGCGGGGATGCTACGCTTATAACACGGCTTGACTGGTACCTCTGTTCGTACCGTCGGCTCCACCTGGACTTGTGCTAAGGAGAAATATAGTTCCGTCGATGTCCGATCTCAAACGTTGGTTTTGTGGAATTATGATGAAATCAACTCTGTTGGATTGGCGGTGGCAAAATCACTGGTGATTTTGCCTCCGTCCAGCATCTGTGACGACTGCGACAGTGCCGCTTGCCATCCCAGCCGTCAGCAAATGACTTCACTTGTCGCTGCGCCAAGTGATGTGGTGCCGCGCACAATTGACCTAGTCGCACGAGTCCCGGGTGCTGGACTTTTCACTTTGCGTATTCAAAGAAGCAGCTGTAGTCGTCAGTGGAAACGCGGGATGTCCTATCGCAGACACTATTATCTATAACACGGCAGCCGTGGCCGTTTTTTTTATCCCCCGGCGCCCATGGGAGGCGCACCCCCAAACACCGCGCTACCCCGCCTAGAGCCTGTGCGGCGGAATTACTCTGCCAGGTTGCGATAACATTATCTCCTCGTCTGCTAGGCGCAAAGCAGACGTCGCCATAGCTCTTGTATATGTTTGCTTCACAGATTCGGTGGGTGCACCCACAAAAGCCTGTGAAGCAAACATTGGCAAGTACTGTGGTGGTGTTTGCCTCGTGCCTAGAAGACGGCAAGGAGAAAGTGTTAGCGCAATCAGGAAGGTAAACCCCGCCGCAAAGGGTAAGCGGCGTAGGCCCAGTGTTTCAGAGTGCCCCTGCTAGGTGTTAACTTATAGATAATAATGTCCGCGACAGCACGAAAATTACGAACCACCTTGTACATTGTTGTTTCAGCAGCAGCAGCAGCAGCTAGATACCTCGCGGCTCGCAATATTAACCAATAAAAGCATTTTCAATACCAGTCTTATTAGTGATCCTAGTATATGTTTCGACATAATATTTGGGTCATGATTTGTCGAACTACAAACATAAGAAATTGTAGTCGCTTCTTTCGGTTTGTGATTTGAGGATTAGTATGTGTCGTCGCGGTTAAATTTCAGCACAGTCAATCAAGATGTGAACATGGCTGTAACATTTCTTTTTACACACCTAGTAAATTCACATTTGTCCAACTTGTTGCGGACGTAAGAGGTTGTTAAGACCAAATTACTTCCCGCTTGTGAGAAGCGACACTTTCCTCTGAGCCGCCGGCTCAGGGAGAATTGCGTAAGCAAGCTGTGTGTGCACTAAATGAAATTGTTCACACTATTTTACTTTGCCATAGTCCTTAGCGTTCATTCATGCTTCCTAAAAAATTGCCGTTCATATAATGAGGGAATGGGATAACTGGAGCACTTGAATCATATTATTTTTACATGCACGACTCCGGCTTGATTTGCTCTTACGTTTAATGTTTTTGGTTTTGTCTTATGCATCGTACATCACAGGCTCCACAAACTTCAAACATAAAATAAAAATGGCTTATATAATTTCATGTGAATTTAATAGGTGATGTGGTCGTGGCCCTGTCAACCATAGGACCTTCTAAGTCCTGCTTTAAAAAAGCCGCCCCAGTACAAATGTGGGGAAAGCTAGGGCTGGGCAATTTATCAAGTAACCATACACTTTATATATTATATCGTTAATTGTGATGGAAATCTTAACTGATTAGTCAGTCGAATGAAGTGTGCAGCAAGCATTATATAATGACTGTCATCTAGAGTAATGAAAATGTTAAATAATGATGCAACATTATGTAGTATTAAATTTGCTTCCACAAGTTTTTCTTTGTATTTCTTTTTTTTTTTTGCGGTATAGCGTCAAATGTTGAATAGGTCGTACATTACGGAATAAATGTTGCGCATAAAAAGGTGCGTATGCCTCTTAATGGATGCAGTGTCAACATAAGACCATCATCGAAACAGCCGCTCACGAGATTAGGGAGCGTGAAATCGTTCGAGTCTTATAGTCACGACCTCAAACCTTTTTTTTTTTTTTTTTTTCTTTAGTTAAACTCTACATGCGCTATGCGGCAGAAGTCACGGCGCTCGCTTACTGTTATTTTTACATCACTGAGCTCACGGAGTCTTCTCCCTTTTTAAGACTCGAGAAACGGGGCACCTTTGTTTTGAGCGGCGTATTACAACTGACAGGTTAAAGATGTATGGAAACGAAATTTTAGCTCTTATGTTTTTGCTTAGTCATAAACCACGTTCTGTCAGCAACTTAGGGCGGAAAAAAATGGGAATAAGAATATGTAATACTACTTTAGTCGAGATAGCCTTTATATGAACTCAGTTTCATGTTACGTTCCCGTACGCAGAACTACGATTCGTTGGAGCGGTCTTCCCCTCCTAAACGGACGAAAGCTGGCTTAAAAACAAAGAAGAGGAATTCTCAATAACACCTGGTAATTAGGAGGCCGATGTATAGGGTGTCTGAAGTCACCAGCCTCGATCTAAAATGGACCGTAAAAAGCGACACCTGTGTGAAGCAATCTACACTTTTCGTCAAACGTGTATATCACAGGTCCGTTTTGTTTTTAAAGCGCCGATCTTAGGCGCCCGTTTCCGGCTTCAGCGGCGTCGCCGTCGGCGTAACCGCGCGGTGCTTTATGGGACGCGTGTCGTCACTGATGACGTCATCAGTGACGATGACGATGCCGATGACGCCATCAGTGGCGATGACGATGCCGATGACGCCATCAGTGATGATGAAGTCATCAGTAACGCCACTAATGACGTCATCAATGATGTCAGTAATGACGTCATCAGTGACGATGCCGATGCCGATGACGTCATCAGTGACATCACTGATGACGTCATCAGTGACAATGATAATGACGATGCCAATAAGGATGACGTCAAGAGTGCTGATGACGATGACGTCACC